CAGTTGCTGCTGTAAATTTGAACCCTGCATGACTTAAAGGTTCTGATAATTTATCTGTAAGGTATTCAAGTAATCTGACAGGACGATCAATAGCAGACCAGTCACAAATAGTTCTGCCTTCTGAGAACGGTGGGATTCTGGACAGGATACAGCTCCAGAAAAAAGTGTAAACAAGTTGTTTTCCCTTTCCAGAGAGAGAGGTAGAGGGAACAGGCTGAGGATAGATAAGGTCAGTGTCAGCTGCTCCAACCACAGACAACTGCTGAGTAATGATCTCAGACAAAGAATTACACTTTTAATATTTTGTCATGGTTTAACCCCAGCCAGCAGCCAAGAACCACGCAGCCATTCACACACTCCCCCACCCACGGGATGGGGGAGCGAATCAGAAGGGTAAAAGCTACAAAAACTCATGGGTTGAGATAAAGACAGTTTAATAGAGAAAGCAAAAGCTGCACACACAAGCATAGCAAAACAAGGAATTAATTCACTGCTCCCCATGGGCAGGAGGTGTTCAGCATCTCCAGGAGAGCAGGGACCATCACGCGTAACGGTTCCCTGGGAAGGCAGATGTCATCACTCCAGATGTTCCCCCTTCCTCCTTCTTCCTCCCACCTTATATACTGAGCATGATGTCATATGGTATGGAATATCTCTTTGGTCAGTTTGGGTCACCTGTACCAGCTGTGTCTCCAATCCCGCTGCTCCTCTCCAGCTGCTCCTCTCCCACTGCTCCTCCGCTCCTCTCCCCCTGCTCCTCTGCCCCTGCTCCTCTGCCCCTCTCCCTCAGCAATAACAAAAACATCTCTGCATTATCAACTCTGTGTTCTGCACAAAACCCAAATATAGCCCCATACTAGCCTCTGTGAAGAAAGTTAACTCTGCTTCAGCTCAAACCAGCACATATTTAGGCTTTAATACTTTAAAACTTTAATATTTGGATTTTTTTTGACATGTTTCTCTTTCTTGTTAAACTTATTCCATACAGAGATCTCAGCTGAACCAGCAATTCCAGAAAAAATACAATTATAGGAAGCCTGTATCTCTTTTATGCCTACAGAAGTCTCAGATATGTTACATAAGTTTCTCAGGTTTTGCTGTAAATCTGTAAAGGTTCTCAGATCATCTGAAGAAAATGCTAATGCTACCTTATCAAGCCTTTTCTCAATTGCAATGTAAACACTTAAACAAGCTACATACCAAGTGCAACAGTACAGGTATAAGTGGTAAAATCATGTAGCTGGTATCAGCAGTGGTGATATCGGCATTACCTGCAGCAGAGCCAGTGTCCTGCTCTGCAAAAGTGCAGGCAGGAATAAATCCGGAATAAATCTACTCATGCACCTCAAACACAGTGTCTGCTGCCATCCTTTTGTCATGCCTCAAGAATTTATTTGAGGGTTTGCAGCTGGTGAATATGACAACAGAAAGATCAACTACTGCAGGTTATTCATTAATTCCTATTCAGGAGATTTCTAAATATTAAGAACGGGCAAACCGGTTCAGGCCAGTGCTTCTCTGAGCACAGTAGTCTATCTCTAACAATAGCTCTAAGAAGATATCCAAGGAAGAAAAAGAATTGCAATTGCATGTGATGCTGCCTCCCCTGCTGCAGCTTCATCCTCTCCCAACCTCTGGCCATTTTAAGCTGTGAGAATTTCATGAGACTGAGAAGTTTTTCTGTTAAATATTCCACTCTTACAAGTACTTGTCCAGTCTCTCTGAAACCATGTAAACTCTGATGTAAATAATAACGTCCTTTGGCAAGCAATTCCTCACAGCTACCATCCCATGTGTGAAGAACTATGCATTTCTGCTTGATTTGAGCCTGGCTCCCACAAGCTCATTATGACCATCCACGCCTGTTCTGGGAGAGGCATTCAACAACCAAGTTCACTCTTGTTCACTCTCTTCCCCTCTCCCTTTGCACTGCAACTTTCCCATCCCACTCTGGAGCTGGTCAGCCTCTATTCCGTATCAGCCCCCAATCCCTGAGTGCATGGATAGAGGAACTAAATATTCTCTTCCCATTTTAGCCAATGGCAGGACTTTCCTTTTTATTTTGTGGGTTCTTCTCTTCCTTAAAACCTTTAGTAACAGATGTCTGTCAACAGCCCAAATTAAATCCATCAAGACTGCAGCAATCACTCTTTTCTACATGCTTATGAGGCCAGCAATTTCTGTTTACAGAGGCTATACCAGCTTTTCACATGCTGGTCTGTATTACAGTTCCTGCTATTTTTTTTTGGAGCAGAAGTCTTTCTGGATTGTCACAGAATTATGATTATTATTATTTTAAGTTGTGTCATATGTGCTACCCTCTAGCCTCCTAAACTACCCCAAAATCAAGTTTTACATGATCCTTTCCACACTGCTGCATTATAGCACTCTTCAGTGAATACCATTCAGCCTTGGTGCTTTGCTAGTCTTCATTCTCTCTTGATTAGATCATTTTGACCTCATCTGCTGTTATTTTCACTTTGGACAGACCCTCTGCTGAGTTCCCCAGAAGGAATTCCTGCATAAAGTTCTCCTCAGTTTCCTTATCAATGAATGCTGGTGCAAAAAGCCCGACCTATCTTTTCTGTAATATCCATGTCTCTTCTGAGCACTCATATTGTACCTTGGTCACCAGTTGGTGCTATAGACTTTCTAGCAAGCTTTTTCTCTTAGTTGATGTGAAGAAGAATTATTTAGTAGTTTGGTTCTTTTGCCTAGTTGTTTCCCAGATTCTTTTTGACCTATCTAATTGTATTTTAATGATTTTCCGAGTTCATGTTTCCTTCTACTGTTTAATGTAGTATAGCTTTTTGCTATGATTCAAACTCTATCTTGGCTTCAAGTCTGTATCCTTGACTGTATCCTTCAGCTTTTTCCTAGCCACATGTAAGGATTTAGTTCTTTTAGTGCCCTCTCCTAGTTTGTTTTTGACAAGACTGACCTTGTTCCCTCACTGGAGTTTAGTACTGGAGTTTAGTGGAGTTTCCAGGATGAGACTCTGAAACAGATCTCAGGCACTGTTCTCAATCAAGCCAAGGACTGCACTTCATCTTGAGGGTTCATTCTGTGAAAAATTATTCCATCTAAGTAATACCACATAAGAATGGCAACTGCTTCATATAGCAATGTGTCAATATACTCTTGTCACTGGTACTGTCCTGGCTGGTGCTTTGCCATGTAGATCTGATTGTGTTCTTCCCATTGAGTTGCAATCCAGGTAGGTTAGGTGCTTCTCTCTGAGCTGGCCAGTTTGCTGTGTTTGGAAACTATTTAGTTGCTATGTTTCAAAATTATTTATCCTCTCTACTGTCTACTATCTCTACACCCTTTAAAGGTGAATAGAGGATGGACTTTACATTAAATTAATTGAAAGAAAGATCTGTCTTTCAAGAAGAACTACTTTTAAAAGGAGAAACTTCATTTTAAAATCAAGTTTTGTCATCTGTTTTAAACCTCTTCAGACTCTACCATGACTTTGGAATATCAGCCAGCTTTAAAAAGAGCTCTTCTAGTGCAAAACCACCAGTCAGGTTAGTATGAAACACCACAAGGACAGTGTTACTTTATTTCTCCGTAAGCTGATTTCTCAAGGAAGGGAATGGGCATAGACCATTGACTGGAAGAAGACCATGCAACACTGTAAAGATCATGCAGCACTGCATTTGCCAAAGAAAAGCTTCCACTTGGAACAGAGTCAGTGTTTTTTTCAGTTGTGCATTCCTAGCATTAGATAATTAGGCCAATATTTAGGCACCCAAATAAGTGTATCCTAGTATTTAAAAGTGCCAGAAATTTAACACTCTGGATAGAGATTGAAAAGCATTTCAGTTACTCTATATCTTTTAGGTAGTTTTCCACAGGAGGATTCAGTTACCAAATGCTAGATATCAAGGTCAAACAAAACATTCCAAGTTAAAACATGTTAAATTAACATTAAAAAATCAATAATGTTGTAAAATTTTTAAACCCAACTGTGGGAATCTCCAGTTTGGGGTTTTTTGGGTTTTTTACTACACATTCATCTGTTTAGTCATTCTTCCTTTTATTACAATGAGCATTAGAGGAGGACACTTGCTGGGAAGTGGAAGATTCATTAAGAAACATGAGAACCATTTGCAGTTAGTTCAAAGAAGTTACTTGGAAACGAAACTTTTCTCTGTTTCCCTCTTGCTGTCTCTGGTGAGTGTAAGATTTTCCCTAAGCATTGTCTGTTGACTCAAAGGAAAGACTGTCCTGCTT